TTCAAAATGGCTGTCTATTAAGCGTCAAAAAGAATTTGTAGAAAATTTGGTTTTGTACAATATATCGTTGATTTGAGCATTAAAGATTCTTTAAGCTAAGGGGAATGTATCGGGCCAAAAAAAAAAGGGGAAAAATTTGGCGTCAGTTATCCTCTAAGTGAAAGGATCTTAATTTTGATCCCTTGTTGTGCGTTAGCCTTTTAACCCTTAACAGTGGTAAGCATCTAATTTCTCTCGGCAGTATCACACCTGAATCGAACACTAAGGTCACGCTAATAAAGGAAATGATCGCAAACTCAATAAGGTCTTGACTATTGGACAAATTCTCCTTTCAAGCTTAAGTACCATAGCAAATATATAGAGAATAGAATGGAGAACTTGCATACTTATGTTAAGGTGTAAAAGGTTAAAGCACTGTAGCGTTCACGATGATCAAAATCCTCGATCGCACCAAGTTGATGATCAATCTCTCTCGACTTCGATATCGTGCACCGCAATTTTCTCCACCGATATTTCAGTCTTTGAGATGCTCCAAATATCACTCGGAGCCAAAGTTTTCGAGCGAGTTGGCATGCCTGCAAAGTCGAGTGTTTTAGATGAGGCACGAAATAATTTAAAATAATATTTTGCGCTTTGGAAACGAGTTAAAATAGTATGCTAGCGAACTTGTTAAGGTGTGGGTGAAATTAGGGCTGGTAAGGGTTAGGGGAAGGGGCTTAAGTGGTGCAATCAGGCGAAACCTCCGTAAACCAAGAGAAACTATACATATTACTACCTAGGACATGAGCAGAATAGCATGAACTTTGATGAAAAGGAAGGAAAAATTTGGAATCATCAGAAAAAACTATTCTAAAGTTGTCGATTTATGTCTCTTGAGTATGGGATCTTGAAGGATGTCGAAAAGAACTTGGTAAATAAGGACGAAAAGAAATATACAACAAAGCGTAGTTGACAAAAATAGTTTACTTACAACTTCCATCGTGTTAAGACACCTTGTATTATGCTTACGTGAGAACATTATTTACTATACTGCAAAATTGGTGCAAATAGGTCGTCACACAAGTGTTTCTGTATAACAGTGTTTAAGTCCTGATTGTTTTGCGACTGAAATCATTTTAACCTCATTGCTTTATTTAACAAAAACAGTTGTACAACAATGTTATTTGAACTTCGCCCAGTGCAATGTTATCTCAAATTATAAGCGTGATTTCAAATCGCACAAGCGCGTGAGTTAGATATGAAATCACAAGAGTGATTTCGAGCTAAAATTGCTCGAAACGAAGTTCAATTAGCAATGAAATTTACAGAAACTATATTCAAATTGCAAAATTTAATCACCCAAATACAGGATTTTAATCGGTACAAATAATTTGAAATTGCCAAAACTTTTCACACAATAGTTTCTTTGTCCTTTAGTTTCCTGCAATTTGATGGTTGCGGTAAACTAGCCTTGAAATCTGATTGGTGGTTTTTTTTTTATGTTGCTTTGTCATTCGTTGGAAAAAAAGAGCCATTGAGAACAAGTAAAGAGGAATTCGCGAATAAATCGCACTGCTAGGAGTTAATTGTGTTGCAAGAATCACCATTTATTTTGGATGTAATGCATGGAAATATCAAGTTGATATGAAAAACTTTCACTCAATCATTGTCAGCCTACAATGCTAAGACTTGTTCTGCTGTACTATCATTCACAAATTTTACTCTAACTGCTTTGTCTAACAGATATTAAATCAGTATTTATCTGTACAAGCGGCAGTCTGGATTCTATTCAGCCCATAAATATTGAGATAAAGGTGACTCAAAGCCAATTTTATCGATTAAGTGCCCAATGTAATATATTAACAATATCTATGATCAAAAAGGATGTATAATCGTTTGTCTTACGATGTCTTCGATTCAGATGAGGATCATGTCATTTCGACTGCATGATGCTAATGTCCTTCAACGCCTGAAAATAGAGAGCAGTCTGACATTCTTCTTTCAACAAATATCATTGCCAAAAAGTGCTGAACTTATTATTAACTAACAATTTAGCTGATATTTTGGCAAAATTCCCGCTGAATCCAGGATCACAAGAGCAGATGAACAATCCCTCTGTATTTGTACATGTGGCATTGTCCTTGAGCACACTCATCAATGCCTGAGATCAAATCAACACAATGATATGTGCCACCATGGTTTAGGGAGAGAATGAAAAAAACATATATATACAAGCCCTCCTAACGGAAACTGCCTCCAACCATTTCTAATTTACCAAGCCACCATCACACGCAAGGACAGTAGCACCACTGAAACATACATCGGACTTACAGAAAAAGACTTCAAGACTAGATACAGAAACCACACCGCATCATTCCGACACACAAAACTCAGAAACTCTACCGAACTCAGCAAGCATATCTGGACCCCTAAAGAAAATAACCACTATATTTCATGGCGTATCCTTTCATCAAGATCGCCCTACAACAGCGCAAACAAAAGATGCAACTTCTGCCTCAATTATATATAAATGAATGTAGGTAAAGTCTACCTTGGCGTAAAGTGCTCAGTGCTGTGGTAGCAGAGCTAAGTGTACATGAGTTCAAGAATTAAATAGGACGCATCGATTGTCTGTGACTCTGAGTTTCGCGCCTAAGCGTCGTCAGAAAAAACGTATATATATATATAGAGAGAAAGAGAGTTAAAAAAAAAAGCGAGGATGGACAACTTCTGGCGTTTCGGTGGAGACCTTCTTCAGTTATTTACAACTTTTGAATAAAAAAGAGCTTTAAATAAGATCCTAAGATCCTAAGATTCAGGTGCTAGTGATTACGTAATTACAGGTGACAACTAATGAATAAGAAATAAAATCACGTGAAAGGGCAGAAGTGGTGCTAATAAAAAGATGACAAAAAACAAAAAAATAGTGGACAAAATTCGAGAGATAAAACTTAAAAACTTAAAACTAAAGAACTAAACTTGCTAAAACGAATAGCGCAACTGAAGAGGCAATGTGGCAAGCATTAGAAAAGGATAGACCCACTCTTACCTACAACTGTAAACCGTACCAAAATCACAAAACAAGGCCTTCGGAGCCTGAGGGGAAAATTAGCAATAAAATCCCTGGGGGCCCCTTAAATAATATTAATCATAATAAGATCCCTTGGCAGGGCCTTTGAGTCTAATCAACACCTAAAAGGCTGACAAACTCCAAAAAAAGGGCCTTTGAACGATTAATCAGTAACAAATAATATAAGATGGAAAATTGATCGTAGCAAATTCTGTTTTGATGGTATTAATCCTGAGAACATTAGGCAAGCTAGTGATAACCTTTCTAAAAAGGAACGTACTGCACTTAAGGAACTTAAAAATTCTAATGTGGTGATTCGTATACAGGACAAAGGCTCCTGATTTGTATTAATTGATGAAAAGGAGTACGAGGAAAAATGTTTGGTCAGCTCAACAATCAGTTACATGATAAATCTTTGCAATCGGAACCCGCTCAGACTTATTACATCTTGTTGTGGCACGGCAATTGAAAACTTATCGGCCTTTACTGAATTTCATTTACAACCACTTACTCGAAAATTACCATCGTTTATTAAGGACACCACTGATCTGCTTAACAAAATAGAACATCTTAGCTCAAGAGACCCCTTTCCAACGGGCACCTTACTGGTCTAGTGGGACTTGGTTTCAATGTTTTCTAACATCGAAACAAACGCGGCCTCGCTGCAGTAAGGAAGGCTTTGAATGCTAGAGAAAACAAATTTCCATCCACGACTTGCATTTAGAAGCTGTAAAAATTTGTTTGAAAAGCAACTATTCTGTTTTTAAAGAGAATCTCTTTCTTCAAATCCATGGCACAGCTATGGGTCCAAAGAATGCTTGTGGCTATGTCGATCTAGCCATGGGTGAAATTGATCTCAAAGCTAAGTTCTCCGGTCCGATAAAGCTGTCCTTATGGTGGCGATATCGAGACGATGCATTTGATCTTTGGCAGCAAGGCCTTCCTACCCTACATCAATTTACTGATTACATTAACTCTCTGTATCCTACTATTAAATTTTAGTTAGATTTTTTCTGAGCGTGAGCTTCACGTACTTGACCTTACTTTATTATCGATGGATTTATTAAGACAGACGTCTATTCCAAACCTACAGTTAGGCACTTATATCTTCCACTTTCTAGTTGCCATCCTAAGCATGTTTTCAAGGCTATTCCTTTTGGAGTAGCCACAAGATTGAAAAGAAATCGGTCTGAGGAAATTTTTCTTGCCTAGAGAACAGCTGAGTACAAACCTAGTTAACCAGGGCTACTCCTCTAAATTATTTTCTGATCAATTTTCCAAAGCCTCCGCCATTCCTAGAAATGATTTACTTAGGACTCGTGGAAAAGAAACGGAGAGATTATTTTCATTTGTTATTACATTTAATCCAAATTTACCCGAGTAGGCAACTTAATCAAAAAGCATTTGTTCATTCTACAATCCAAACCCAAATTAAAAGAACTTTTTCCTCGAGGTTTTATCATACCATCTTTTCGTCGGTCAAAAAATCTCAAAGAATTATTAGCACCGTCTCGTTTTAAAACTGTCAACGAGTGAGAAACAATTCATCACAACAACGGCTGCTTCAAATGCGATAGGAAGAGATGCGACCTCTGTCGGAACTTCTTAGTTGAATATAAATCATTTCTTAGCTTTCAGATGGGCAATAACTATACCATTCATTCCAGACTTTCTTGTGATTCTAAAAATGTGATTTATTTGGTTTCTTGCAAGAAATTTCGCTTGCAATAGGTAGGATCTACCACAACCGACTCTAGAATTAGGTTTCGTAATCACAAATCTGCTATGCCCAATTCTACTTCGATCTTATTTAAAGCTCTTTTTTAAAAGTTTTAAATAACTGAAGAAGGTCTCTGACCGAAACGTTTTTATCAAAGACAAGAACATCAGGTCTTTCTTTGAATCGCTTTCGAGATGGGGAGACACATTTGCCCGAAGAAATTCCATTACCTGTGCAATTTTGTCTATCCCCGCTGAATCCAGGTTTACAAACGCACTTGAAAGATCCCTCTGAACTTTTACAAGTAGCATTATCATTGCTACAGTTGCAGGTAATTTTGGCACATTCTTCAATGTCTGAAGTACAGAATGACAATGGAGAGAAGATAAAAATTAGAGATATCTCGTCATTTCTTCAAATGCTGTTGTCCTTGTTATATCAGTGGGTAATTCCAGCATATTCGATGATGGAAGGAAGGAGCGATTCAGAGGAGGGAGGCTTTCTTATATATCATAAAAAATAAAAACATTGCGAGCTCATCCATCTTTGATGGTATAGGAAAATTGCAATCAGGAATTTGAGGCCTGTCTCCTACTATAGATGATGTGAATTTCAGATACCCCGCCTTTGTTGGTTTCTCCTGATATGCTGAACCATCATGCTATAAATTAATTTAACCATATTTATAAACCTTCACTGACATCATCCAATCGTCCATGAACATTCGACTGCTACTGAGGCGCTTCAAGGGAGCAGATACCGGTAACGAGGAAAGTCATTTGTTAAATGAGACAAGCTGTCTAAGATCTTACCTTGGCAAATGTATCCATTTCCAGTAAATCCAGGATTACATGAACAGTTGTATGATCTTATGACGTTTGTGCAATCGGCATTGTTCTTGCTACAGTTGTGTGTTTCAATAGCACATTCATCAATGTCTGAAATGCAATGGACAGAGCATACTTATGGTCATGATAACGAATACTAAAGTTAAAGGGAAAAAGGGGGAGAGAGATCTCCAGGATATGAAAATCATGCTCTAACAAATATCAGGTTACCATACATACTGACTTTGTTTTGGCCAGTTTTGTAATTTTTTCGGGCTTACTCGACAAGGCATCATGCTCTGAAATCTGTTCAGTACCTGTACAATTGTGTCCATCTCCGCTGAATTCTGGTTTACAAATGCACCTAAATGATTCCCAAGAACTTTTTACAGTTGGCAGTTGCATTGCTGGAGAGGCGGCTATTTTGAGAACACTCGTCAATGTCCGAAATTAAATAAGCAGTCCATATCAATTATAGTGATAAAATATAGCAGTGAAAAGGGGATGAAAACTTGGCTTACAATCTCAAAACCACAGGGTGCTCTTAAGGAAAAAAAACCTTGTAATCCCTCTCCATATGGAGGATGGCTCAAACTCTCTCTAACCACAGAGGACAGAGCTATAATATGTACTTATTTTAAACCATGCCGTGTCAGGCAATCACTGAGTAAACGAGTTTGCAAACAAAAAGCTCCTTTTTTGTCTCGAATAGCATCGTTTATATCTTTTAGGGGCGTACTTGAGGAGAAAGGAATACGAATGGAATTATCTGCCTAAAAAGGTCATGCTCTTCAGGACTGTACCTTTGCATTCATGTCCATCCCCGCTAAATCCAGGATTACAAGAGCAGTTGTGAGATCCCTCGGTGTTTGTACAATTGGCATTCTCGTTACAATTGTGGGAATCTAGAGCACACTCATCGATGTCTGAAATAAAATCAACTTTATTATTATGATTAGGACTATATCAAAGTGCTCTGTGAGCTAACTTGTGAATTGACACATGATTTTTTGGATTATGTTTAATGTTATCTGGTTTAGGGAATTTTGTGGTTGATTGTCATATCTAGAGTACGAGCAGTAGTTCAGTGTTCGCTAATGTAGCAAAGAAACAAAGTAACGTCGGGATAAGAAGGCATTACAATTGAAATGATCATGCTATTGCATTGACAAGGGTGGATGATGTCATGTGTTTTAAACGTATATCATTTCTGTTTCTTGTTCAAAAGAAAAGGTTGGAAGTAAATGTGGGTGAAAAGTGAAATTTACTGTCTATCATTGTAAATATTACTGAGAAAATCAAGGCAATACTTTCTTAATGAAAAGATTAACGATTCCCTCTTTATCAAATGAGACAAACGGGAACGAGTTTTGAGTGATATAACTAAGCCAAGACTGTTACCGTCATTTTGGATCTCCGCCTTGGTAGATTTTAGTCAAGTGCTAGGCAACGTATAATCAATAACAAGATAGAATTTCATTTCAGGCCTATTTATCAATTTTGTGGTGTATAACTTTCGCATTTTAGTACGTAATATGTATTTTGAATCTTCAAATTGTATTGAAACTTAAAAGAAAATTTAAAAATTCACTGAAAATCGGTAGCTAAAATTGTTTGTTTAGGTGTTATTTGATTTTCGTGTTAACTTGTAATTTCGTTAATCGCCGGCATCTTCTGTTGTTTCTCACAGGAAAAACACACGATACGAAACGTAATGATCGATTTTGTCCTCAATCTAACGCCGTAACAGAAAAAGCTTTTGAACATCTGTAAACTCCGAGCGCTTCGCAGTAAGTGATATTTTCAATGAATCTTTGGATTGTTTTCAAGTTCAAGGATTGTAAATTGCAATTTTATGAAAAACGAAGGTTTTTCTGTTATTTCAGTGTGACTCCTTGCATGCCTGCCAGTCGCTAGCGCCGCTTGTTGAAACTAAAACGAAAAAAAAATTATTTTAAGAACATCATTGACTTCTTTGTTATCCCACCACTATTCTTAGCAACAAAGGTCGCCATTTCGTTTGTTTATTGCTCGCCAAAAACTATCAAATGCACTCAAAAGCCTAAAATCGAAAAAAAGTTTACAGGAATCGACCAATCGAGCAAGCGAGCGAGCGAGTGCCATTCCCCACATCGTATCTACAACTCGCTCTTGCGCATGCGCGCAACTCACGAGTTAAAAACGGGTGTTTTTACCAAAGGTCAATTAGGACGAGGCTTTCCGCTCTAAGTAATGTTCATTACCTTTGCAATTATGTATATGACCGCTGAATCCATGTTCACAAATGCACTTGAATGATCCTTCGGTATTTAAGCATATGACGTTTTCATTGCTGCACTTGTGGGTATTTGTTTCACACTCGTTGATGTCTAAAATATAATCAATAGACCTCTGGTCAAGATACTAAAGGCCAGAGGTTGCGGGAAGCGGAGGGGATAATATGATGTGTTACGCTATTTGTCAGCATCGGCGAGTGAAGAAGCAAGTGAGCAATAAAATGAGGGGCTGCCGAGAGGAAAAATTTTCGCCCACTTTTTCCGGCACTGAATGCCTAGCCTGAGGTGAGTCTGCAACTTCAAAGAGACGGGATAGTCTTTGAAATAAAGAAAGAGGCATCCAAAACTTAAGGAAGGTGGCTTGAATTCTTTGCTGTTCATCGTAAACAAGACGCTTAACCAAAGTTGAGAAAAAGAGCATGAAAATTGGACTTGTGCTCCCATCCTTCTTTTCACCCACTATGGGTCATATTCAGTATGTGTCATAAGTACGACTGATTCTGAATCTTGAACCTTCTGAAGAAATAGACCACTGTGATAAAATAAAAAATTCATTTCTATTACGCAAGTGTCACCTTTTTCACAATCGTAGCCGGTGAATCCAGATGCACATAAACATCGATATCGTTTTCTTGTAAACCCCGACTGGCAGGTGGCGTTGTTTTGGCATGAAGCTTGAGCGCAAAAAGTCTTCAACAGAAACAAATGAATAATCTGGCGTTTTCCAGACATGAATAAAAAGAGTACCCCTATAGCACTCACGAGTTTCTAAAAGAGAGTAGTGCAATTGACATTTATCAACTGCTACCTTAGTTCCGTGGTAAACATGGTTCGCTGCTTTCACCAGATCGTTATCATACTCTTTACCCGTTGAGTTATTCAGTCCACAGTTGTGTACTTCTGCTCCGTTTTCTCCAAAATAAAAGTTAACACTGACATAGTTGTGGTCCAAGTAGCAACGATATTCACACATGTCCCTGTCAATCATACTGATGTTTGCTATAGTGTGGTTAACAAGACATTCTCCTACGAAGAATAAACTGGATGGAAATGCCAATATACGGCATTGATCTAAAAATTCAAACCATTTAGAGTTAAAAAGCAAAATGGGTCATTAATTTTGAGGGTGACAGATGTTGTTAATCTCGCTGTTCGATGTGTGTGGTACGTATGTCGATAATCGTGACATATTCATTGATTTACCGGAGATCAAACTGTATTAACAGTAGCATCGGATAAGTTTTTTTGGAGACTAGAAGATCGTTAAAAGAGGATTATGACCTCAAAAAGTTGCGAAGTGTAACATTGATGAGCCCAGACTCCGATGAAAAATTTGTCCTCAGAAAACTGCCATTAATGTTTAATGTTATGATATAGGTAAGACATTTCAATCACGAACTTCCAACTTTTGTACATTATTTCAAATCATATTTTTTTTATCATAGTTATTACAACAAAGCGCGCGTTGAAAGTCCTACTAAATCATAACGAGCCATCATGTTTTCTCGACATAGGCATGGCCGAGCATACATAACACGAGGTTTGCAATTCAACTCAGCAGGTACCCGTCTACCCTATCCGAGTGGTTTCAAAACTCTCAAGATTCATTTTTAGTTCCATTCCGATTGAGACACAATTTTTGAAGCTCAAGATGAATAGTAAATATGCTATATAATACTTGCTAAAAAAGAAAAAAAACCTTGAGCTCTGTCAATCTACGAAAATACCTTTGGGGTCAACGGTTTTTTTCATTCCCAAACGCTGTTAGAATTATTGCTATCAAGAAGGAAACTGAGCTTTCTGACTTCAAGTGAGGCTTTGAGACTTTTGAAACTCTTCCTTAGCACATTAAGTATTGTTTGAGTTGACACCTACCAAAACTGTTTTTGAATTACAGAAATCAAACAGTTTTCAGAATTTCGAATTTTAAACACAAAGCCACACATTCTGGTTATGAATTCTAGTAAAAAAAAAAAACCATTCCAGCATGCTGAATCAATCACGCGGGTGTCGTAAATGCAGGGAATTCGTTCGTTTTCCGCTTCTAAGCAGAAAATTCAGCACTTCTTTGAATTAAGCTTTGGTCTCTAAATATTTATTGATCGTTTTCGCCTTGCCTTTTATCGATAGTTTTCTGGTATTAAGCGATTACCGTGAATACCCGACTCAATTCTACTAACAATTTATCTTCGTGCACAAGTTGTATCCGCTATGTTATAAAATAATTGGTTCGTGCTCTTAGCGAGTAAATATCGTGTTATGGATCCACAAAGGAAGTTTAGAGAACACTCGAGAAGCTAAAATTGCTATTGGCTTTACCTCAAGCAACTCATTTCTTTCATGCTCTGCAAACTTCGTTCGTGCATCCATTTCATTCCATTTTCACGCGCTAAGCACAAACCATGCTTAATTTTACATTGCGATTTATATTTTGTTTTGTTCTGTTTTGTTTTTCCATCTTTCATATCAATTAGCCACCTGTCGAGAGAGAGGTTTTAATATGCCCGCTTATTCGCAGTCAGTACTCCGTTTGCATTATTGAAACTTTCCCTGCATTTCAATGATTTAACTTACCCATCAGGCTTCAAATATCGCACAATACAAAACACAGCAGGAGTACTATAATGAGCATCGAATTCAGAGTTCTAAAATGCTACAACACAAACGTTTTGGTCTATTTTTAACACATGTCTGGATTATAATTTCAAGGTGGAAAACTTTACTACTAAAGTTATCTTAAATTAAAAAAAAAAAAAGAAATAAAAAAATATATATATATATATGTTAACTAAATATGAAACCAGCGAATAATTATGTACCCAAAGAAAGATTCTTATTCCACGAGAGAATGTAGAAATAAGGGAATAAAAAAACATTTCATTTCTAAACAGTTAATACATCAATTTGTCTTTCCTTGAGTGCACGGCTTTTCATAACGATATGATCCTTATAGAGAAAACCTTGTCATTAATTTTAGATGACCTTAATAGAACTTTGGTTTGTTTTTATATGAGTATTTCAAAAGAATACGAGACTGTAAGCAGCGAAAAATATGATTAGTTACGGAGTTGAGTGAGAGGATTGTTCAGTCATAACTTAAAATACTTTGCCAAATATGTTCGCATGTAGTGAAAAAGAATCGAAAATATTTCTGAGTGAATCCAAGATAACAACGCATTGATTTGGACTGTGAATTATGTAGCCATTTTTTTTTAATTAGTCCCTTAAATATATATGCTAGAATTTAAGTATTTCAGTCCTTGAGATTTCGCGTTCCCTTTTTTAATCTAGTAAATTGTATGGCTGAAAATTTGAAAGGAGAAAAATAAAAGTTTCTTATCCACAAATGAAAGATTTGAAACCCACCATCTGGGCAGGATAGAACTTGGCCGTGGGAGAGGACCACAGAGGTGAAGAACAAGTGGAGAAAAACTGCCATGTTCTAAAAAACCAGCTGAAAAGAAATCCTTTCGATGTTTTGTAGCTGTCGAGAAAATCGAGAAGCTTAACAGCAGTTTGTTGACTGCGATGTACCAGCAATTTAACGCTAAACTTCCTTGAAACATGATAGCCAATCACATTCTGATATATGAAAGATGTCTAACAGCCCGCCACAGAGACGCTATTAGATTAAATGATGTGTACTAAAATAGATAATTTTGTTAGTTTTCTCCTCACGCAGTTATCTCCATCTTTCACTTGCTATTCTAAGGGATCCTTCTTGTATACGTTTCAATAACTATAGGCAGCATCAAAAGAAAAAAATATAATAGTTAAACTCATTAAAAATGCAAGTGCACGAAGAAAAAGCCTACAAATCTGTTTTCTTAAGATTTCAAGTTGCTAACTCTGTGGTATTCTGACCAAGTTTTCAAGGAGACTTTAAGGTGCATTTTTAGAAAACATGGCTTCACTGAAGCCATGTGGTTCAGTGCCGCTCTCGCTAAGAGAGCGCCTCTCGAATTCCCGTCGGGAAAAAAGTTTCTCTTTTTTTTTTAGGCATAAAAGAATGGTTTAAGACATGTGTCTCTGAAATAGTTAAGTTGCTCTCCAATTCTCTTTTTTTGTGTCGTTATAAGTTAAACTTGATTTTTTTTGGCTAAACCCCTGAGACTGCAATAATACACCTCACGGAATTCTCTCTTGCTTCAAGTTGCGGGATTTATTCAAAGTCAAAGTATAAATAAAATATGCAAACCGTACATGAAATCTTAGCCATAACAACGCGATCAGAGTTTCGAATACAATTTGCATACCAAAAATCTAACAACGTGTTCGAAAGAATTCTTAAAATTTAGGCGTAAATCGGGCTGGAAAAGCATATCAGTGGAAAGTTTTTACACCAATTTGGTCACTGATAGTCACTAGCTTTCATCTACCAACATCTTGAAAACAACGCAAATCAATGCGTTTCCTCCAATGCACTAGTGTCAGAGTTCATTTGCAAAATACTGAAAATCAACCAAGACATGTTTTTGGCCGTTTAAACTTCTTTCATTTACCTCCTATATAAAGGGTTTCATCGTATCAGGTTACAAACCAAACACAAAGGGGGAAGTTCAAAATTAGCGAATAGAGTTTGGCATTCTCGTCGTTATAGAGATAATCCGTCTCTAAAAAGGACAAGCAAATATGTTAAATTATGTTACAGTGTGTTTTCGTAAACAACACGTATACACTCTGCAGGGTTATTCTTCTTTTTTAATCGATTAAACCTTAACAGAAAATCTCTCAGGTTTTATATATAGTTGGTATAAATCAGTCAATCAAACAGTTCTTTTAAAAGCTACCTGAGGGGCCTAAAGGTGTGAAACTGGGAAGTAATTTCGCTTTTTCTTTTTCTTTTCTGTATAAAAAGACTTGAGGTAATTAGGTTTGAAGTCTGAAACAAACATGAAAACAGGAACTAGACTGGAAGTTAGATGAAGTGCTCCAATTACTACTATGACTACTGTTTTCTGCTATGGAAAGAATGTGTTTAAGAAAACCAAATATGGTAGTCAACTAGTTTTGAACTCAGCCCAGCCATTCATTAATTTGCACAGCACCGTCATCTTTTATGTTCCCACCAGACAAACCTGAACAGTCTTCACCACTGCAGTACGAGCCCCCTCCACCCCCGGCTTGGTGCTTATGAGTACCACTGCCTCCCCCAGAGTATCCATCACCTCCGCCTGATGCCCCATTATCTTCTGAACCTCCTCCCCCGCCTCCAAACCCACCAACTGCTCCTGGTGCAGGGCCCCCATTATTACCGCTATTCATACTTCCGGCTTGACCTCCGATCCAGCGTTGAGCACGTGATCCACCTCTTTCCCCATGGGAGGAGCCTAGTCGGGCACAACCTTGACCAAACCAACCTGCACCTACTCCTCCATGGTAGCTGGCGCCCTCGCTATTGCATTCACCTGGCTGCCCATCTGTACCTCCATTACGAACTTGTGACGAATCTTTCCCCTCACTACTGGTGCCACTTGATCCCGCCTGACCATCCACACCATTATACCCACCCGACGCACCCCCTCCTCCTCCGGCAGCCAGCACCAGAACATTATCTGTAGTGTAAACAAAACTTCCTCCCCCTCCTCCAGTGCCAGCATTGTCCTCCACGGATTTTCGAAGTTGAGCTGCGGTCTGGCTTGTACTTTGTCCGCCTTCAACCTCCACCGAATCTCCTCCTCTTTGTCCCACCACAATATTTAACACTGTTCCATTATTCAGTCTGAACTTGCCTTCTTTAAACGCTCCCTTTCCACCATTGTATGTTCCTGGAAGGTATCCATAATTGTATGAATGTGTTCCTCCCCGAGCTCCCCAGGCTTTGATGAGATAGCGGGTCTGTATACTGCCAAAGCGTCCTCTTCTTCCACCGGCTCCAAATCCAGCTAGCAACAGAAATAAAAAGAAACTAGATCGTCTACTATACATGACAAAAAAAACAATGAAAAATGTAAATTGACATCAAAATGTTAAAAAGTAATAAGTTTAACAGTTGGCAAGTCAGTCAGTCAAGTAATTATTCCTTCTGTCTGTTTGCCTCTTTGTCTGGAAAGATGAGCCCTCCCTCACGATCCAAACATTCTTACGTTCACAAGTTTGTCCATTTCCAAAAAATCCAATTTTGCAGGCACAACGATAAGAGCCAGGGGTGTTATGACAAACGGCGTTGGTATCACACAAAAATGGGGAAGCGTCACATTCGTCGTCATCTGTGAAAAAAGAAGATATCAGGATTCACTTTTTTCTAAGACTATTTTAGGAAATTACAACAAGGGCTTTCTTCCTCATAGGAAGGCGAATTTTTTTTGCTTCCTTTTGTGACAAATTTTGTAACTTTCAAAGGAAGATCGTAAATATAAAGTGGGTAAGTTTCTAAAGAAACTGTGGTGCTGCATCGGTGGGAAGTATAACAGGTAATTTAGTGTTAACAACTAAGTTGAAAACGTAAATTAGCCACCGTAATGGGTAAAAAAGCTGACGTTACGAACGTTATCCCTTTGTCAGAGCGATTGGAAGGGCTAACGAAGGGCTAACGCTCGAAATGTCAGCTTTTTTAGCCTTTACGGTGGCTAATTTACATTTTCAACTTAGTTGTTAACACTAAATTACCTGTTTTCCCCATGGCATTGCGTTCAGTAGTTTTAGAATCACGACGAGTAGCCGTGTATCCATGTAAAGAACTCAAGTGTGACTATCTGTTATGAGATTCAAATCCAGTCAACGATACGAATAGAGTCTCTAGGATTGTTTACCTGTACATGTAATTCCATTTCCAGTAAAACCAGTTTTACAGGAACAGCGATAAGAGCCGAAAGTGTTCCGGCATTCGGCATTGACATTACTACACACCCCAATAGAAGCTCTGCACTCGTCAAAGTCTTGGAGAGTCATAATAGTAGAAATGATAATGATAATGATGATAGTACGGACAAAATTGAGAATAAAAGAGCTTAGACAGAGGGTATTATAAAAATCATCAATTGTACCTTACCTACTGACCGCATCGCTTCTTAAAATACCAAAATAGCAAAAAGTTTGCGATAGTGATAACAATAGCGGTAACGAAGATGATGGTGCCCGTGATAAAATGTGTCTTTTTTGGGCCATTTACTCCTACCACGATGCAGTTAATTAAATCCTAAATAGTGATCAAATCGAATGAAAACAGAGGAGTAACTGTTAATTTTTTCGTGTTGTAGAAATGTCGAATGCCATTTGATGGCGTTAGCGAACTAAAAGTTTTCCAAGATTGCAAAGATATACTGCTTGAGAAATGATTTTAACCAAGAAAAAAAATTGCTTGTGCTGTAAATTGGTTAAAGTTTTCTTAGCTCAAATTCAAAGTTTCGGCCAAGTGATAAATGTTCATACACTTCCTACGAGAACCAGATTCCTAGTATTCTTGGAACTTCTGAGAATCCCTAAGAATAAGAATTCTTAAGAACAAACTTTGCAGTAGGCCTCGAGTATTTTGCTCGGGGTTTGCAGGTAGACTTGAAATTCCAGCAATTTCAAGCCAAACTTTATCTTAGCTCTCACATAGGCCCGTAATTCTGGTTTTTCAAAGTAAGCTTCATAACGTACCTCGGCCCAAATAATATCTTTGAGTGTCAGAAATGAAATTTGTGGGACTGTTTTCCCGGGTTCCATTATTCAATTCACATATGTTCTGGAAAAAGACGTAATTGACACTTTCACAGTGCGAGTCGAGTTTGCAAGCCTGCCAACACTCAATGGGGGAGATCGTCTTTAATTTCCTGAAAGTGTGTCCAATTAACATCCTTTGGAAGGTTGAGGAGTATTCACTTCGACATTGTCCTGCATCGCCTCCTTGAAACAGCTGGCTAAACGCCGAAACAGTGATGAAACAGAAATAGCTCAGTAACATCAGTGCTTGTTTGCACAGCCCTAATAGACAAAAGCAAATTTGGTTAAAAAGAGAAGACGGTTATCGGTACAAACTTAATTCCTTACGGACTCGAGGCGAATTCTACAATACTAAAATTTTGAGCACTGGATTCACTGGATAGAAATCAGTGTAAAATATCTCGCCAGCACCTGCACAAAACAATGTCGGAAGTTCCAGCTTATTTTAGAAGTGTTCGATATTGCCAAATAGGAAGACCATTCATCCATTTTTTTTGTCCATATCAGTGGATTAGTTGTGTGACAGGTGGTTGCGAAATAATTGAGAATTTAAGCGCCGACAAGGGAGGATACACAATCTCTCTTGGCTTCGGATAATCTTGAAATAGTGGCCAGATTCTCAAGGTATTACATAACAGTAATTACCTGCCAGAAGCTTACACATTTTGCTTTCACCTAATTACTGAGTGCAAAGTCGTCATAGGGAACATTTTCTTTCCAATCTGTAATTGGATTATGATATTAAGGAAACCTTAAAGTGAATTTGTAAAAATAAAAAAGGGAAATTAAATTAAACAAGAATAAACACGAAATACAAACAAAACAAAACAGTTAGAAGCCTCACTCTCTTAATTGGCCCAATGTCATATATATTGTTTGTATGTGTTATGCCCGTCAGGACTTCCAACTTGAAACAAGCGTGGTCCACATTCGTAGTATTTTCAATTTTCCCTATATTATCCGAAAATAATAATAATAATAACAGAAGTAACTAAAAATCTTCAAATTCGGTTAATGGCAATAGACAACCAAATTATAATTTTGATGAGAAGCAGGTTTGAATATAAACAACAATTACACAGGCCCAGGTTTAAAATGCATTTATTCTCAGCCGCTTAATTTTCTTTGTAACATTCATTCTGTAACACCTTTCAAACTGTTTATTCATCTTGTGCCAATCCTGAAGTTTAAATTGTTTTAAGTGCGTGTACAGGACACTACCGTATAAAAAGTAATAACCATAAGAGGGCTCACCTTTCAGGTAAAGAAATCCTCCAAGATATAACTGGACAAACCGTCAATTAAATATGATACATTACACCCCACTAAGATTCTAAAAATAAAGAGCAGAAAAAAATAATAATGTGGCATTGCAAATTTCCTAATCACTTTCTTTCTCACCTTCGAGAAAACTTTTAATATCAATAACACAAATCTAATTGATTCTTTTCCTTATTTTTTCCCTTTTTTCTTTGTTTTGTTTTATTTATTTATTTTAATACGGGGCTAATCATGACCAATCACAGAGCGTTTACTATCTGTAAGAGTACTAAAGTATAATACACATAGATGTAACCAATTTTTAAAACGATTACTCAAAATTCACAATTTTTCCGACCAGCATCGATTGAGTCTATTCCAGAAGCAGAGGTGACACCAGGATGTGCCATTTATGAAGTAAACATAACATATCACTTTGACGATAATTGATTTGTAGCAGCAGTCTGAATGCCAGTGGAAAAAAACCGTCCTGGTGACCTGACCATCAGCTTGTGTGGGATGCGCACCACTTAGCCAGCCAGGTAAGTGAGAATTGCATCGGTGTGTTGGAGAGCATGAGGTAGGCATTCTTGTCCCCGCTGCTCCTTCAAAACGATACCAACCCTTTGGTCCGTTGTCGCAAACCGTGTTTTGTTGCTGTAGGTTACCTTTCTGTCTTTCCCAGTCTGACTATGGTAATTTTGACATTCTAAAAAAATGCGAAAATATAAAGATTTATGAGAGGAGAAACGAAAAAGAATTAAAGACAGACAGAATCAACACAAAAAAACAAAAACAAAACAAGAAAACCGAAAATAGAAGTCTCGAAATGAAATGTTGGCCATATCCTCAATATTTGCTTGAAAATCTGTTACTTAGTACATTACGTATATGTAATTCTATGGTGTAACAGTTTCAATGGTTGTCATTCAGGAATACACGTAGACAAAACAATTATGTTCTCAGCGATCTTGACAATACAAGCGAAGCCAATTACTGATCATTTTATGACGAATGGATAGCACCAAAAAATTACACTTCTAATCATAACTATAACAAAATTCTTGAACGTGACCGATTTGAGCACTTGTAATTGGACAGTGTACTAGGGCAGTGAAAGAGACAGTTAATACGCTATGCCTGTGTAGGTGGATAGAACGCGTCATAAGCGCGCTGCTGTCTCGCATTTCGCCGAGTTAACTGTTGTAATATATTGGTTTTTTCTAGGTGCTATTCATTTTTCAGTCAATCAAGTTAGCATATCTGCGCTGCTCAAATTAATCAGACAACGATAGTCAGTATGAAAGAGTAGCTATAGAAACAGCAGCAGGATTGAGGTGCAATACTTGCATAGAAAAGACTCGAATTGTCTTCCTACCTGATGGGAGATTACTGGATCTTCCATCCCCTTCGAATTCCTGCGGAAGGTTACGTGAGCAGCCAAAGGATCCAAGAGTGTTGGTCCATGAGGCTGAAACGTGGCAATCATGTACACCACTGGCACATTTATATATTAATATCTGTTGGCATAGATGAGAAAGTTGATACACATGATACAATGAAGAGGAACAGTAATGGCCTGTTTATATGAAGGTGGGCGCAATCAGGTCGGTGAGGTAACCGTCATGGGGGAATTAATCGGCCTTTCCATGTAATCCCATACTAATTTTTTATCTTTACTTGATAGATGGGGTTACCCACCAAGGCGGATTCCCGGTGTGCTAAGTAGGGTAACTCTGGCAGTCAGGATCGTAATTAGCCATGTAAACATTTCAAAGTGGAGTAAACAGCGCGGGTGGGGTCGCTTTTATGTTACATTTGCAATCGCGCTGACAACCTCGAAAAACTTCATCCCGGGATCCCGAGGTTGTAAGATTGTATGTAAACGAATATGGCTGAGCGGGTTACCTCTTTTACATGGGGTCCCCTAACTCCCTAAAACAGGCCCTAAGAGTAGTTCTGGAATTGTCACATGCTTCAATTCTAAAATTGTAAGTGGCTTTGCCTGAGGAAAGATTAGACATCTTAGTTCATTTTCGAATTGATCATATGAGGTGGTAGTGCTTCCAATGAAAAATGTAGGTTGGTTATTTCTCTTTAACCTGTGTAAGTTTGTTCATCTCCACAAAAACCGGTTTTGCAAGAACAACGATACGATCCTGGTTTGTTTTTGCAGTTGCCGTTTTCCTCATAAAGAGGTATGGAAGCGTTGTATTCGTTAGCATCTGTAAATAAATTTTAGTGGCACGAACTTTTACGGTGGTGAAAAACATGTTGAGCCACATACGTTTTTCCAGAAAAATTATTATTTAGGCTCTCATCGTTATACCAAAAAAAAAAACAAAAAAAAAAACAGAAAAAAACTATATCAAAACAAAAACAAGTGAATAAGCACGTAGCTATGTTGTAACTGGCTAGTGATGGCATTGAAATTTATTTCTTAGTAATATTCTCCCTGAATAGTTATGGGACTAGGTAACATAAGACTTATCGCCTGGGATGGTTTTTTTTTGTGTGTGTGTGATTTTTTTTCCCTTTGTTTTATTTTCAGACACCTATTTCGATGCAAAACCTGTCTACTTGACCACGCAAAATCGTGCGAAAGTGAAACAAAGACTCTGGAAATTTTGATAGCAGCTACTGTACTCTTCTTTTGTCCCTTTCATTTATTCTGTCAACAGCTTTTTCTATGAGAAAAGTAAAGGTAGGTACATCTACCTAACTATATAAATATAATTGTGGAGCGAGAACTTCATAAACGCAGTACAGTGCAACTGCAATGCAGAATCACTAGCTCGTCCTTTTTTGTTGGAAGAATTTGAAGTAATTCAAAATTTAAAAAAAACCAGAGGTTTCCTTGGACGTGATAAAGAATTAAAGTATGTCTATGGATTAATAATGGTATTGAGGCTAAGCGGAGTTCAATTCATTCAAAAATGATATGAGTGATGACAAAATTGGACGACTGCGCAGCGTGAGTCCGA